CCGGGACGGAGAAAGGAATTAATTAGCTAATTGGTTAATTAATTAATTAATTAATTTCTCTGTCACAGTTTGTGATGGTCTCGACTGACTCCATAGATCAAAATGCAGACCGTGATCGAAAGGCTGCATATATGGCTGCAGACAGTGGCAGAAAACCTACAAAGACTCACAGACCGTGGGAGACAGGTTCCAGCAAAGGAGTTCCATCGTGTTTCACATTTTAATCCCACAGGGATTGCGCTAACAGCTTTTATTATTGATATGTATTTCTTATATTATTTATTGATACAGAGGCTTCCATTCATTGTTATTATCGACGCGAAAAAGGGGATACGTAAAGTGATAAAGCATTTTTACGACGCGAAGATTCATACAAGGATCGAACAAAGAATCATTGAAGCATGGCTGTAGGAGACATAGAAAGGAGAAGACAAAAACGCTAAAGCATTAATACAGAAAGAGATGAAAAAAGCTGTTAGCGCAATCCCTGTGGGATTAAAATGTGAAACATGATAGAACTCATTTACTGGAACCTGTCTACCACGGTCTGTGAGTCTTTGTAGCTTTTCTGCCATTATCTGTAATCTGGTGTCGTGCCTGCCCACATTTTTAGTCACGATTACGGTCACGATCACGAGAAATAAACCTTGTCACTCACGATCACGATCACGCAAGTTTTATATCATTTACGATCACGTCGCGATCACGAAAACAAATTACTTTTTAGTCACGATCACTGCCACGCGTGATCGTGATCGTGACGGCCACGCAGGACACTGTTCGAGTTCTGTTCGGTTCGACTGTGTTTCCAAAAAGTCGGTTCGGGATCTGTTCGTTTTCGCTCTCTGTACATGACTAGCACTTGTGGCCACGGTCACGAAAAAAAATCTAGTCACTTACGATCACATCACAACAAAAGATGACTTTTTAGGCACGATCATGATCACGGTCACGCGTGATCGTGACCGTGATCGTGACAGTCACGCAGGACACTACTGTAATAATATATGCAGCCTTTCAGTCACCGTCGGTATTTTGATCTATGGAGCCGGTAGAGATCATCACAGACCGAGACAGAGAATTCAGAGACCATTACAGACCGGGACAGAGAAATTAATTAATTAACCAATTAGCTAGTTAATTAATTTCTCTGTCCCGGTCTGGGGGGGGGGCGGGGGATGGGTTCAAATTTCTACCCTATATACTTCAACACTCCTTTCAGATCATGTTTCACAAAAAAATTTCTTCTTATCTTCGATGGTATACAAGAACTAGTATAGCGTTGAATATTACAGCATTGCACAATTTTCTAGTATACGTGTTCAATTGTATGAATCACTAGCACACGTTCGAACTCATTAAATATTTGAAAAGATGTCCTTTTAAATTATGCTATTTCATTAGGGACATTCGTGATCAAGGGTGTTATTCATTGTCTACCAGAGGACGAATTTGGTAGCAGACTGGAATTGATCTGTTTTGATTCTACTATACTATGCAAGCTAATGAGAGACTATTGTACAAAATAATTCGCTTACGCAGCTATTACATTCCATTAGGGGTGCATCAGCTCCAGCTCAAAAGTTCAGCTGAGCTGAGCAAAAAAGCTGGTCGAACAGCTCTCGTTCCTAAACTGAACTTTTTCAACAGCTCGTTCCAAAAGAACTGATTGACATTATGCCAAAAATACTATCCAAATCAGTTCTTGAGAGAGAGAGAGCTGCTCGATCAGATCAGCTCTTTTGAAAGGAACTGTTCAAAACAATCAGCTCATACCGAAATGAACTTTCGAACAGTTCCCTCGCTCAGAACTAGAGCTGAACTATTGCACCCCTACATTCCATAACTCATACAATCATGTTCAATATTTGATTTTGATAGATTAATCATGTTTCTTGATTTCGAAAAGAACATTGCGATAATTCTGAAAGCTAGTTCGGTGTACTCAGTTGATCATTTCTGAATCTATCTTGCGAAAATATTTTTTTCGCTTTTTGAAGATTGCGAATACGTCAGTTGTGTGTGGCTGTGGCTGTGGCTGTGCATCAGTGAAGCATCTACGTATATACTGTTACACCCACACCCACACCCACACGCACACCCACACACTTACTTTTCATTTTAGAAGTCTTGAGTGTGTTTCACATATTGTATCATAATCCTTATTAGGGGTGTACAGCTCAGGCTCATTTTGAAATGAGCGCGAATGAGCGGTCGTGAGAATGAGAGTTTTCGCTTGCGAATATACAATGCTGTAGTTAATTTCACTTCTTTGTAAATAGTACTATGAATCTCACGATGATTCGTACTCATTCAAGCCATCTGGTCGGTTTTCTCCAATGATCGCTTACGAAAGTGAGTGTGAGCTGTACACCCCTAATCTTCATCAGAGAAATTAATGATAAAAACTGACATGTTTAGCTGCGTGAAGGATATGATTAAGTTATATGAGTGAATAATGATGTATTTGTACTGTGGTAGGTAGGAGATTTTTCGGAAATCTTTAGAAAACATCTTAAAGGCTGTTGCAGATAGATTGATCTCTTTTTTACTTCTTATCCTTTTCCCGTAACCTTCCCTGGAATTCGTCCTATGAGACCTGGCCAAGTTCCCTGGAGTCGGGAACTCATTGGGAATTTGGAACTCAAAAATCAATAAAGGAGAACGAGCGGCAACAAATTAAACACGTCAAGGGAAGCCAAGCATCTCAGGGAAGTCAGGGATCTCAGGGAAGTCAAGGATCTCAGGGAAGCCAAGTAACTATCTTAGGTGTGGGTGTGGATGGTTCTGTCTTATTCTGCACGCACACCCACACACTTGGTTAGGGAATGTATCAATGTGTATGTGTGTTTGTGTGGCTTTTCACTATCATTGCGGAAATTCTTAAACAGCATTATAATTAACCGCTTTCAGCAAGAATTGATTTTGTTCACTGATAAGTGACACAACTGCCCGAAATTATGTTTGAATTTTTAACTAAGTATTTCATTTATGAAAGGTCGACTGATATCATAGTATCTGTATGGTTTTCAGCGACTCATTTGATTTCTTAGACGAGACTTCTATAAAGCATACAACGCACAATTTTTGGTTAGACTTTTGTGGAATATATTGTGTGTTATTATTATTAATCATTGTCCAATAGCGATTCATAATCTTCATCCAATTTAGAAGTAACATCTATAGATTACTTTCTCTTGAGAATTTTAACTTTAACAATTCACTTTTCAATATTCTTTAAGATAGTAGTTCAAGGTTTACTTTATGAAGCAATAAAGAAAATTACAATATCAAGTTTTTTATGTATGAAAATAGTTTTTTAGGTTATGAAACCTTTTATCCGTATATTAAGTATCGTTTTTATTAGTTGGTCTTTCTTTGAATCTTCACTACTGATTACTTCAATTCATATTCATTTGTTGGTCGTGTAACATTTGATACGACGATGAATGTAGTGTTGCTGATGATCTATTTTTCTCTCAATCTAATTATTGAAAAATACAAAGTCGAAAACAAATCAAGTTCCTTGACTTCCCTGAGATCCGTAACTTCCCTGGAATCCTTGGCTTCCCTGATAACCTTTACTTGTTTTAGTTTCTTATCGCTTTTTCGAGTTAATAGATTTTGGAGTTCCCAATTCCCAATGAATTCCCGACTCCAGGGAACTTAGACACTGCTGAAAATAAAGTATCTGTTAGACACCTTCTCACATCGGCTTTCTAGCATTCACGAAAGAGATGAAGAAACTCACGAGAAATGCTCTATACGAACGAACTTTTGACGTCTTCAATTCCAATCGAGTTTTATTCATTTACAATTCACTAATGCATGTACTCTAAAATAGTCTAATTTATGGCTAACATTTAAAAGGCATGAAGAAAGGAAGAGTAAGAATATTTAGAGCCAAATATTAAATTGATGTGATGACGTTATAAGTAGACAATCTATTTGGAATTCGTTTACAAGTGATATAACTGGTCCATCTCACTACTGAAGTGTATCATAGCAAAGTGAGGAACCTGTTAAATAGAAAATGAGTGAGGCAAATAATCATACACAACTTCAGAAGCTTTTCTATTTTATCCATATTCACGAATTAAATGATTTTATCACATTCTACGAGCAATGCTCCTCTGCTTTGAAGCCATTCGAACATGCGGAAATTCTTTTTCGTGCCTGTCGGTTTGATTCATTGAACTTTGTACGCGCAATTTTGAAGGATAATAAAAGGATTGCCATCAATGTTCGTCACCCATCGACAGGTTATTCACCGCTTTTTATTGCTATTCGGGCACAACAGCACGAAATTATTGATTATCTCGATCAAGAAAAACGAGCCGATGTAAATGGAAATTCAAATATAAGTATTCATTGTGAATCGATGACCAGCTGTGCACATGAAGCGTTACGTCAACACGACCAATTAACGCTATGTCTGTTACTAGAACATGAAGCTTTGATCGATCAATCTCACATATTTCTGGCTATTATCGAATGCTTTCGATTACTGCAGAAGGTAGAAATTAGAAGGAGCAAATATGTCCAGCATGAAATATTTTCATATGCTATTTTAGAAGGCTTTGCCTCTCAACTTGCTTGATATTCTCATTACACATCGACCTAAACTATTGGATGAAATCGAACGATCGAAATTGACCAGTTTCATCGTTCGGCGAATGCAGTACTCATCGGAAGCTGCTTATTCGATGTCTGTTGTGGCTCTTCTTAACAAATTGATTAACGTTGATGATCTCCGAAGTTTATCTCGGCCCTATTTGGATCCAACACCAACAGAATCGCGTAGTCACTATACTAAAGTAGCCATCATCGGTGCTGGACCAGCTGGCTTGATGCTTGCCGCACTTCTAGCTCGTTCGGGCATCGATTCAGTTGTCTTAGAACGTCATTCACGCTCTTATGTTGAAAATAATATTCGTGCTGGTGTATTGGAACAATCAACAGTGGATTTACTTGATGAAATCAATGTTTCTGAACGTCTCTTTAAAGAAGGAATCGTTCAACGTCGAGTAAACTTCCAATTTGATGGTGAAAATACTGCTATACCTATTACAGAAATTACTCAAGGAAAATCACTTGTTATTTATGGTCAACAATATGTTTTACATGACTTGATTGAAAAACTTATTCAGGATAACCAACAATTGTGGTTCAATATTGATTCTGTCAAGATCGACCGACATGATAAGATTGGTAATCAAATGACTTACCGCGATTACATTAACTATAAGATAGTCTTGTATTCTTTTCAGGTGATAACCATCCTCCAATGATTCGCTTTCGACGTCATGATCAAAATGATGAGGAAGAATTACATTGTGATTTTATTGCTGGATGTGATGGTGCAACCAGTCCATGTTGTCGTCAATCAATTCCATCTGAACTACTTCAAACTATTCACCATCTGTATCCATTTTCATGGTTAAGTATTCTTGCAGACACTCCACCGAGTGGTACCGAGCTGATCTATGCACATCATTCTAAATATGGCTTTGCCTTACATAGTCTTCGTTCTCTTACACGTATTCGTTTTCATTTACAAATTTCACCTACGGACACATTAGCCGATTGGCCGGATGATAGAATATGGACTGAATTAAACGAACGTGTGAAACCAATCAATGGGCAGACATCAATAACAAAAGGCGAAATTTTGGAACGAGCTATTTTCCCATTACGCAGTTCAATCACGTTACCCATGCAGTACAAGCGTCTATTCTTGGTTGGTGACGCAGCACATATTGTGCCACCAACAGGTGCCAAAGGACTCAATTTAGCTGTAAAATATGCACGTGTTCTAGCTGAAGCTTTAGTGAACTTCTACGATAATGAAAAGTGGGATAAACTTAATGACTACACTCAAACATGTTTGTCACATATCGTAAAAAATCAAGAGTTTGCCAATTGGATGACACTTGTTATGCACAAGCTTGATCTGTCGGAAAAAAGTAACCGGCAAAACGCAGACCTAATCGATCAATATACACAGCAGGAGCTACAAGAAAACATAAAACATTCATCTATTTTTCAATGTTTCATTGCTGAAATGTATACTCTTTGAATTGTTTCCACCCATTCTTCAACGTTTCATTGCTGAAATGTATACTCTTTGAATTGTTTCCACCCATTCTTCAACGTTTCATTGCTGAAATGTATACTCTTGGAATTGTTTCCACCCATTCTTTCACAGTTCAATATGATTTTGACAAAAACTTGAGAACTTTTGAATATTTATCTCATAACACGACGCAATCTATTGACACAACCATTATGGAATTTCTATTTAGAATTATCGATACCAAAGGAGAAGTGCACAAGTTCAACATTTTTAAGAACGACTAATTTAAGAGTGAAATAGTAGTCTATTTTGTATAATTATAATTATTTTGATTCATGGGCAAATATTTTGAATTATATTAGAAAATGTTTATTACAGCAGCTTTTATAAATGAAAGAAAATATTTAGATTGTAGGGTGTGGGTGTGGGGTGAGTGTGGGTGTGATTATTGTTTCTCTTCACATCCACCCACAACCACAAGTAACGGGAATCGAAAATTGATTCACTGGGCCCTAGACTGACAGACTTTACACATTCAAACATATGGACAAGGACCCAATCGGCTGTTTTTGTCACCGATCCTGAATTTTCCGAACCGACCGCTGGATAAGTTCATGTGAGACGAGGAAGGCAGAAGGCAAATAAGTGAAGTTGTGGCACCAATGAGACGAACACGAAAAATCTCCAAGAATAATGACTAAAACAACGATTCCAAAAAGTCAATGTGATAGACAGTTGCGAAGGAGTGCTCAAACCGAGATTTTGCTTTCGGTAGGGCGATGAAGCACTCAATTTCGTAACTAATAGAATACACTGCTGACAATTCTCACTCGAGGGTCTAAATATCTTTCAGAGGGCAAGAGATTCAGTTTTGTCTACTCGAGCACTCCCGTCAGTAGCGGTGGAGGGATCAAAGTTTGTTATAGGAACCATGGCTGCCCCCTTTATCTGCACTGTCATTGAAAGTGACTACTCCTCGTGTTCCTTATGTGGGTGCGCCGAGAATATGTACTGTCCAACCGGTCATTAGTGCCATAACTATGGCCATTTCTGTCCTAAATATGGTTGTTTGTCCCAGAATAGTGGTCATTCGTGCTATAGAAATGGTCATTTGGGCCATGGAAATTGTTGTTTGTGCAACGAAAATAGTCATTTCTGCTACAGAAATGGTCATATTGAGCGATAAAAATGGTCGTTTGTGCCATGAAAAATGGTTAATTGTGCCTTGAGAATGATCATTTGGGCCAGGAAAACGGTCATTTTTGCCACAGAAATGGTCAATTGTGTCCATGTTACAGACAGACACAGGTGAATTGCCGTTTCCAGACCCTATCATTTCAGTCTAGGAAACACCCACACCCACACTCACCCCGAAAAACTACATTTTTCAATCTATATGAATCTTCGTTCAAAGTTCAAGTCTTTTTATAAAACCTGCCAAAGTGAGCAAATTATTTCGTCAATCACGAATTTTTTAAAGCTAGAGCAGCGCCAACAATAACTATCAGAAATATCACGTCAAATGCACAATAATTTTCTCGGTACGCGAGTTTCTTAGTCGAACACTGTATGAGCAGAAGTATGTCATCATATTCTTTATAGTAAAACACAATAATTTAAGGCTGCTCACAACTGTTCTAATCCAAATCCATCATAAAACAGAGTAGATGAAAATCATTCATAAATAGCAAAGTTAAATAGGAAAAAGAAAGAAAAAAGATCAATCATTATTCAAGAAAAAATTTCATGATCATGGTGTCATTAATTATTGAGTTTTAAATGCGTAGAAAAAACATCAACGGCGCATATGAGATATCCAAAATGGCAACGCCAGCAAGTGTCCATTGAAATCCGATGACACGCACCAGGTATCCACCCACTAGAGGTCCTATAGATAGGATGAAGCAAGATTTGAAAATGCAGTTCTGTCAGTAAACAACAAATTGGACATTATCCCTCTGTAACCCAGTGGTTCGTTTCTGATAAGTCGCATGACGCAACCGCTAAAAACTGAATTGATTTCTCGCCTAAAACAAAACTTTGCGGTTGTCTCTTCAGAGAGAAAATATCGTTAAAATCGATAGTGAGTAACGAAAAGATAATTTGAAAGTCAAAGTTCTCGAAATTCGTGTGCATAAGAACAAAGCTCAATGTCCATGTCATATACAGAATATTTTACTTTACTAATTGTCACTGAAAAAGTCGTTTCGAAGACATACCTAATAGGAATGAGACACAAAGTCCTGTTTCAAACAAAGCAAAAGCATTTCCATAGTCGGCAGATGAATATCGCAAATCAACCAATTGTGCTAGAGTCGGGCCTATTGTCGACATAACCATACCAATGCCTGTACCCAACAAAACTTGTGGCCCGATTAATGCGACTACCGAGTGCATCAAAGGTATCTATGTAGAATACAAATGAAAAATTGTATAAACAAAAAATTATGATCTAGACATTGAGTAACATGTGTCTGAACTATTGAGTAAAAAGAAAACTAAGTTTCATTTGAAATTGAACTGCTTATTATGATATCGATTTGAATAATCCAATAAAACATTTCGATGAATTTCAGTATCTTGGACAGAGAAGTACTTTGGAAAGATTGGTTCACATTAATGACTTTTCCATACATATACTTACTAGAAAGAAAGCAACTGCCACAACACCCAGACCAATCATTCCACAAAGCCATCTGAAAAAACAATGAAATAAAAATATGTTTCTATAGATGTGTAGATTTTTCACTGACCTTCTAATATAAAATCCCAGATAACCAAAGGCGTTCTGACTAATGAAAAGAGCAACACTCATTGGAAGGAAGACTAAACCTGTCGTAGCATTAAAGCAATGATGTAAAAATAATTTTTCTATGATATAAAATAATACCTTGTTCTAATGGTGTTGCTGATTTCATGGACACCATCAGATGAATTGGTAGTGTGCCTTCGAGCATCGCCACGCCGATGAGTGTCATCATACTTGCCCCTAAAATGCATTTCGAGCAAGACGATACGATTATTATCCATGATACTTACCAATAGCTATACAAATCAACGGATCTCGAATCAAAGTAAACATGGATGAAGTCCTACGAGTGCTAGTATTTTCAACTAATTTTTCTGTTTCTGAATCCCGTTTTGTTGAGATGATACTCAAGCGAAGTACTTTAGCAAACACACATATATATATATATATATACCATAGACAATAAATGATTACACGTAAATCGACACTTACATCCATCGATAAGAGCAACTGCGGCAAGGATTAGAAACGGAACTGTTTTTCCAAAGTGATGATACAATATACCGCCAAATACTGGTCCCACTAAACAACTCATAGGAGAATATCAATAGAAAATAAAGCAGATGAGAGATATTTTATTTACCAGCGACACCCAGCGCCACACCACTCGTAGCATGAGCGATCATTTTACCTCGCTTCATATCGTCAGGAAACCTCTTCGACAACATACTAGCACCTTCAATTCAGCATTTCGATTAAAAAAGATCCGACAAAGTCACATGTTCCTAACCTGAAATGGTCGAAAATGACGAACCAATACCTTGAATTGCACGCGAAGTAAATAACAGCCAATAGGTATCAGCAAAGGCAAACACTGGAGAAATGTATTAGTATATTTTAGTTGTTTAAATGATATTGGATAATTACTGAGAATCGATATGAACATTACGCCAAAGCCAAGCAACATGAGTATTGTATATCCAATGCTACAAGAAAGCATTTGTTATATATTCGCTAAGGTACATCTGCAAGGACCAACTCGTGTTACTTACCGATCCGTAATAATACCAACAATTGGATTTGTAACCAACTAACAAGAAATAATTGTTTTTCAGTTAAAAGAAGTTTTTGGTATCACTCGAGTCAACATTTATAGAATAACAAAATGAAAATGCATGCTCAAAATTTACTTCGGACAGCATATAATACGAAAATTATGAATCAGATGAATGATCCAAACTTGAGATCTATCATCTCTTACCAAGTATAAATCAATGAAATCGTCATCTTTCACAATCTCAACTTAGCCTTTTGAATTATTACAAACGTGATTGTGAATGAATTTATGAACTATCACAGAAAGGTTTTCGAAGCTTCTAGCCTAGACTATTCACTGTAGTTCAATACATAAATCGGAATGTAGTACCTGCATAAAGGATTTGGAAGCAAACAGGAGACCAATAGGTCCATTTTCCTAAACGAGAAAAATATTTTTCAGTCATTAAAAATAAATCAACAGTTCCTCCTTATTAACATACATGAATAAGCTCTTGGCGCATTTCATCACACTTTTCAGGCATTAATTGTAGTGTCAGGTTTTCATTAAACATAGCACACGCATCGGTTAAGTTCTTTGTTGTTGATGAATTTAATGCTGAATCTCGATAGTGCTCTTCGTTTGTCATATTATTTAGAATTAAACACAAGTTGTTGGTCATATTCTGCGAGCACATTTTATCCAGTGAATCATATTGAGGATGATCAATTCTGTTTAAATAGTCCGGAATGATAGGTACTAAAAACATAATATAGTGTGAAAAATCTCAAGAGTTAATAGTTTCTGAGTTATGCCCTCAAGGAAAAAAATCAAATTATTTTTTACACGAATCAAGATGAGGAAAAGATAGTTCATATTTTACTTTGGTACTAGTTTCAGATTTAAAAAAAATAGTTGTACCAATTAAAGTACAAGGCAACGATTATTGTCTCACTCACTCTCTTGCAAAAGATTGTCCTTCAATAAAACTTAGAAGGACATTTCCAGTATACTTACTAACACATGTAAATAGAACACTGTCGAGAAAGAATGCTACAAAGACGATAAAGACAGCCAATAGATGGGAATTCCGCCATGCGGTCCAAAATTTTTGCAAACAAGCTATCATCTAAAATAGAAGCTGAACATAATAATTCATTTTCGAATACGCTTCTCGATCACTGAAGAAAAATAGCTTAGAACTCGACAGGAAAAATACAGAAATAGTAGAATACAAAGATAGATGTCCCATTCATGTGCAACCCAAAAAGACAAATGATGCTCGAGAGTATCCAGATGGAAATAACCATAACGCACCCATCCTTCAATTAATTGAGCGGCACGGCGGGTTCCGCCACCTTCTCTTTCACTGAAGTAGTGCAAACGCTTGAGACATTCAGTAATAGCTGCAAATCGATCATTTTCTACTAAATATCTTGCAGCTTGAGCAAGTACGGCAGCTGTCATAGAATGACGTTCAAGAACCACAGCAACGTTCCATGAACGCATACGGGCAGCATTCGCTCGTTGGTCTCCAAAACCAGGCAAAATAATTAGTGGCTTGTGTGCATAGACAGCTTCTCCAATAGAATAAAGACCACCATGACATAAGAAGATACGCACATTGGGATTGGAAAGAATGCGTCGTTGTGGTATCCATGGTTGAATCATTAAACGATGTCGATCAAATTTTGATGCAACTTTCAATACGAAATTCCGACAGTTTTCATCACGCACGCCCAGAAGCATACGCATATTTGGTAAAAAACGTAGACTGTCTATGATGGCTAACCATGTATTCTCAGTTATCACAGATATGGATCCGAGTGCTACGACCATTACGAATTCGTCAACAGCTTGGGTTTCGTTGACCCATGCTTCGATTTCACAGGACTTCAGATTTAAAAAAGAAACAAAAGAAGTTTTAGAACAGAGATGGGCAGCTCCAACTCGGAGTTAGAGTTAACTCCGTAGTTGACGTTTTTTTTCATTATAGTTGGAGCGGAGGTGGATCGAATTTTTTCTAATTGTTGGGTAGAGTTGGAGTGGAGTTGGAGTTTGTGACTGTTTTTCAACTCCAATTTAACTCCTGTTGATTATATGACTAGCCAGGAGAGAACGGAAAAAAATCGATAATAAAAGCAGACGTGCACGTGCATGATATTCATGGCGCACTTAAGAGACCAATGAATATATGACCTTGAATAATTACAACGAGTGAGAGAGAAAAATAGAGACATACAGAGAGAATTTACTAAGTCACTGGTAGCGTGATTTAATATTAACTGTTAAACAATTCGGTGTATCGAACATACATCTCGCTGATCTTCATTAGTTCTGCAGCTCATTAATATTATTCGTAGGCTCATATTGAAAACGTTTTGTATTTTTAAATTTCTATTCCAACAAGTTCAACTTAGTGGAATCGAAATTGAATTGGAGATAAGTTTTAACAAGATGGAGTTGGAGTTGGAGTTGGAGTTTGAAGTTGGGTTGGTATTTTTGAAAATAGGAGTGGAGTTATTTGGAGTTGAAGCGGTGCATACCCGGAGTTGCCCATCTCTGTTTTAGAATCATATTATAATTATACTTAAATGACTAAATTTGAAGCAAGTAGTTCTCTACTAGTTGGATATGAAAGGTAACAGTTTAACTGGATCATACTTTTCAAAATCAAACAAAAAAGTCTGATTTCTCTCAATGAAACTCAACAATGAGATGAGAGCTTTCCCTATCTTTTAACATGTTGTTTGGTTTATCATAAATCGAGAAATTTGATTTTTATAAGGCTTTACTTGCTGCTGTGTGAAAATGACAAAGAATTCTGGTTAAATCGCCTTACAATTTACTTGTCTTTGACATAAACTAGGCTACTTACTTCGTTAGATACTCTGTTCGTGTCTTGTTCATCAAGCGTAAAGCCCAAAAAGTGATAATTTGGAGTGTAAGACCGACGAAAATCAAGTGCCATCGGATATGCTATGAAAATTGGATGCCCTTGCCAACGTTCTACTGGATTACCAAGTAGCGGATGGATGCCTTGTCTTGTACGATTATTGTTTCTTCTTAATCGATCTAATTCAACCATATGCGGTCCCAGGTAAAAGATAATGCGTAAAGGCTCAACCAAGTAATTATTTAAGCGTGCCAATAGTGATTTTTGCAAATCTCCTTGTGTGTGACTATCAAATCCACGCGGTATCCATGAGGGCAAATTGAATACACCTTCGACACTAGTTAAAGAGTAAATCACAAATGGAATACCGAGATCATGAGCTAGATCTTGAGCAGCAAAGGCAAACATGTTGATAATAAGAAGATCGTAATTGTCAACAATATTGGCATTAACTAATCCGTCATGCATTTGTTCATAGATAGCGAGAAAACCATGCATTGATATACGCGCCATAAACTGTAAGGGAGTTTCACCATTCCTCACGGAAAAAATGGGTCGATGTTCGTTACTTGATAGTGATCCAAGAAGAATGAGTTTACTACTTGGTAATTTTTCACGCGTGAGCGATGCAAAGTTATCAAATACAGCAAAAGTTATTGAAACATCTCGATGATAATCCGCAAGTGCACGGCCAATCGATAAAAGACCATTGAAATGGGATAGTGATGGAATACTTACAAACAGAACACGTTGTGATCTGATTTTGTTGATAAATGTGATGGTTACTAATATCATGAACAAATCTATCTTCATTTTAGTCTTCTCTCGCAGCTAACAAAATGTTTGAAATAGCGTTGAGTAAATCTGCCGTAGCTGTTTGCCTGAGTGGTATCTACAAGTAGAATAATAAAAGTAAAATATGGGGTGTGGGTGTGGGTGTAAGAGTATATGCGTAGATGCTTCACTGGTGCACAGCCACAGCCACAGCCACAGCCACACCCACACCCTCAAGTTTAGTATAGAGTCGTGGAAAGACTAATAGAGCCGGTAAAAAAAACTGCTGGGGAAATGGTTGCAGTCGTGAGGTGTATGTAGCAATCTCAATCTTATTTTTTGAAAGCGTCGTTTATTATGATGGCACCCTGATCAGTGATATTCTTTTGATGGGTGCCATGCTACTATCTAGGATGTTTAATAAGTATGCAATTATGATGGTTTCTATGATAAATGGTTGATTAATGCCGAATGATATATGTATACTGCATTGTGTTTTCAGATGAAATTAAAACTTTCGGCTGAGGTGGATTGCTCTATAGAATGGATCTTGCTGGACTGGATCTTCTATTTTGAAGCGAAGGATAGATTTCGGATGTTTCCGGGCCCATTGGTGCTCTGCATCAATGCTATGTGTAAGTGCACTGAAAACAAAATAGGACTACACGGAACCAAGAAAGTTTCGAATTTACTCACTGAACTTTAAAATGGTTTCGCAGATACTACGAAACTCAAAAAGGGTTTCGCACTTTGAAACGAATTCTGAACCTTTTTTAGGTTTCGTCGGTTTTCCACAAAACCTTCGAAAAAGTTTCCTGGACTGTTGATAATAATTTTGAGACTATCTTGGACTTTTAGGAAACCTTTTTGAGGGTTTAGAATTCGTTTCAAAAATGGGTCCGTATGGTGCTATTTTTTTTCCGAGTGTGTGACGCAGTTAGGATCGCTGTGTTTTTGAATATGGCACTTCTGTTGGGTAGGGACCTGGACTGCTGCTTCTAAGCTGTGAATTGAAAGCTGCCATATGGATGGTAAATTGGTTGCAAAACTTGTAGTTCGGGTCAGGACTAAGGATTTGTCATGGTTAAATGTAAATGGATTGTTTTCATCTATCATGCGTTATTGTGTTGATTTCTTTCCGTTGTTGTTTCTATTGTTCAGTAGTTTTATAGATGGAATACTCAAACTGAGTTGTAAAATCCGACATTGACTAAGCTCTGGTGGTAGTATTCCATGTCTTTATGGTCGAAAAAGTGGTTTGGTCATAATTTTGCTATAATACTTGTACGGTTTTGGTTATAATGGCTTCGTAACTTGGGTATCTGAAAGTATACTGTAGATGTACAGCTATTGATTCAGTGTTTTGTGACGTTCTGATGCTGATCAGCGTGTGTTGATTATAAAATCATGGTAGGGGATATGGGAAGTCGGGCGTTCACAGTTTCACCTGAGAAAAGTTATTGGTGGTGCTCGCAAAGGATTCTTTATTACTAGCTGAATACAGGATTTCCAGTTGTTTCCAATTTTTAACTTCATTTACAGAGAAAGATTTTCGATAGTAGTTGAGGCGATTGAATAAGTTTGAAACATTGCTGGAACGATGAGCATTCACTAGATTGTATTCTGCTCGCGCATGCAGTTATAAGAGCCTTAGAATGTTAATGGCCAAAGAATGTTTCAGATGAATTGTTCCTTGAGCTCAAACAGGAGCTATCTTCAGGTAGTACTTTTATGTCACTTTTATATACGTTATTCAGTTTGTTTTAGAAAAAAACAGATATTCTCACCATCAGAAAGTCTGGCAAACATACAATATCGGAATAATCAGAAGCATCCAAAATCTAAAACATTGACGTCATAAGGTGTAGGACATAACTCGTTGTCTTCTAGTTTCCAAAGTTTGCATTAATTCTAAGAAAATATTGATTTCCACTGCGAGATCATTTTTCGAACTGTTTGTTGTCGTTTTAATTTCAAAAGTTATTCAAAATTGGTATTATTTGGAAGCTTTACGCGTGAGTTCTTTTCCCTAAATTCATAACTTTGGTGTTCACGATAATGAAAGGGTTGAACTACCTGCATATCGATGTAACTTAGGGTTCAGATTTTGCTTCTAAATATTGAGTTTGGTATGTAACTTGGTTTGCATGTGTTTGGAGTAATGATATGTATTCTTGCGCATTTTATGTGAATAAGGCTACGTTCGACTGTCGTCCGTTCTGCATGACAGCGTATTAAAGTTGCGTACGGGGAGAGAAAGAGTGGAGAAAAAATAAGCACTTTCGTTGTCATTACATCATGAAGATGAAAAGAAATAATTTCTTTTATAATTGTACAAGTCAACAAGAAATGTTCCAAATTTAAATAGACATGATATTATTAAATAGAATAATTGTAGTTTGAGCAAGAAAAAAAGAAAAATTAGTTTTAATATAATTTTTATTAATTTTGTTTTAATTTTTATTATTTGAGGAAAGTAAAAAGGAAACAAAGATAGTGAAAAGGAAAAAATAATGAAGGTAAAGATTAGAAGGATAAGGAAAAAAATATATTTAA